CCAGTATATTTAAACATTACAAACATATAATTTTTTTATCCTATAAATTGTTAATCAATAATGGAGTACATATCAAAAAAATTTAAAAATACAAAATTCCTTTTAAAAGTTAAAGAATGGAATACAGAATTGTTAATCGTATAAATTGTTAATCAATAATGGAATACAGAATGATTTGAATCACTAAATTTGTATTCTTGTAAATTTATGCATTATTTAGATAAATTATATTCTTGTGATAAATAATGCATACAACTAGTTGTTTCATCATATAATATGTAGTTGTGGTGCAAAAATATAGTCTCTTTAATATCTTTGGTTTCCATTACATGTCAATCCATTATGAATGTACGTACCAAATTAATTTGTAAACTCTTTATTTTCATAGAATTATTATGGAAATATAACAAATTGTATACACATATGTTATAACCTTGCAAAGCATTTTCCTTGAGTATATTTTTCTAAGGAAATGAGTTGTGCACACTTATTTTCTCTTTCACATTCTTGGTGCATTTTTTGGGTTTGATTTAACGAACGCAAGAATTAATCATGATTAATTTGTGAGTCTGTCTCACAGAGAATTGAAATTATAATTTCATTGTAGAGTAATGCTATTCTTATCATATTATTATACCATAATTTCTATACCAACTTATGTGGCAACTTACTTGGACATGCCACATCTTTAGTTTTAGTTTTATTATTACTATAATTAACACACTTATTCTTTTTAAAAAAATTAATAATTAAAACACCCTAATTAGAATTGATTAGGTCTGACGCTTTGTTTTCCACTCCATCTCCTTTCGTCCCTCTCACCCCAATCTCATCCCTCCTTCCTCTTCAGCATCCTGCAACCTCCATTTTTTTGTCAAATTTTTTTTGGTTTCTAACTGATCGTATTTGTTTTCCTTTTTATTGTCATAAAATATGGGTTAGCTAATCGTTTCATTGAACAATGACTTTATATGCATCTTTAAAAATTTGATGAAGGAGTCAAAAGGAACAAGTTTTCTATCAGATTGAAGGTTATGGGGTCACTGTTCTTGAAAAATCCTTAGATTTATGCTGCAGTTGCTCGCCAATTATTGAAATTAGTTATGGTTTTTCTTTCCTTTCGATTGGCCTTTTGTTTTTGTTTTTTGTTTTTTTTTTAATGTTCTTTCTATTTGCTCTGGAAAAGAGGAGGAAGAAGGATGAAGAAGCACAAGACAATTAGAGGAACTTTAAGGAGGGAGAGGATATTGGGATGACAAAAAGAGTATTTGAGGACAACTGGATGAGGGATGCAAGAATATGAAAATTGAAGTGTTTTAATTCAAAGGAAAACTAATGAAAATGGCTTGAAAACTTTGAGTTTTAACGATAAGGACATAATAAAGGGTAAAGTGAATAGTACCATGTTTGACTTTTTAGTGTAAAAATGTGGTTTTTCGTTAAAGTTAACAGTACCGCGGCATTTTCATTAAAACTCCCTTAATTCAATCTAATATTTGTTTCCGAACAAAAACTAATTAAAATTAATAAAATTTATATGGAAATTCAAGTATACTGTAATTAAGTGAGGTGGCATATCCAACTCAGCCACCACATAAAGTGATGTAAGATTATGATATAATAATATGATAAGAATAACATTATTATTCGTTTTATGATAAATTACCTGAACAAAGAAACCTGAACGAGACTACTAGGCCACCACATCCCCGCCGGATCCACCACGTACTTTCTGATAATACCAGCCCACCCATACCCCAATACCTGCAGTATTTATTTACCATAAATTTAGCATTTAACACTCTCTCTCTCTCCCCCACAAGTATGCTTAATATTGTAGTTAATTACTAGTAATTTCTGCGTGCATGCATGCATTACGTACGTACCTGTGTTGTAATCACAAGTGCCCAACTTGCAAAGAAGGATATCTTCCTACCGTAAAACGCTTTGATTATATTCACAATACCAACCGCATACGCCGGTCCATTCCCAAACCCAGATCCGGCGTTTGCAAATATCGAAATCAGCACGTGCTCTTTTATGTTAAATTCTCCCGGGTTCAACGAGAATGACTTCCCACCAATCCAAAACTTTCTCCTCGGCAGCGTCCTAGCCATGAACCTCCCGATCGGCAGACTTGCCACCTGCACGGAAATCATTGATATCACGAGCGGCTCCGTGCGGTACGAGAAGAAGGTGTTGAGGAATGAGAGGAGGAAGCACGAGAATATGCCTATAGTCCACATACGGAACGTCCATACAGGGAGGGAACTGTCGTCTTGGTTGGAAACCGTTAGACGGACCTGCTCGACCGATGACACGTCATCACCGTTCTTGTCCTCCTCCTCGATCTCGGTTATAGCAGCGGCCTCCACTTCTAAGGCGGTGGCTGGGGTGTCCATGGGGAAGAGAGAGGGAGGGAGAGTAGAGAGGTTTTTTTGAATGGTGAATGTATGTGTGTCAAGGGTTTGGATGGTGAACGTATGAATTGAAATGAAGGGTTTTAATAAGTGTTTTTACAGTTGGTTTACAATTTTATGATTTTGGATTTTTTGTCAACGACATTTCGTTGCCGGCCGGGTACGTCAAGTGGAATTGGAGGTATTGACAAGAAATACATAGAAGCGTGTTGTGCTGATTGCAAAATTAATTAAATTGGTTTGATGTGGACAATATGTCGATACTTTATTAATCTATGATTAAGGTATACTAAGGAAGCTAACAAAGATATTAATATTGAGTTATTTATTATATATTTCTTTATGCGTGGTTCCTTTTTAGAAGAAAAATGAAGCAAACTAAATTAATGAATATACCTGCTCTGACCGAGATTGGAGATGATTCTTTACTACAATTTGTTGACGGAACTTTAGGACACCCTTGGGGAAATGCACCGGTGCCGCAGCTAATCGAGTAGCTCTAGAAGTATGTGCACAAACTCGTAATGAGGGATGTGATCTTGCTCGTGAGGGTTATGAAATTATTCATGAGGCTAGTAAATGGAGTTCAAAACTAGCTGTTGCTTGTGAAGTATGGAAGGAGATCAAAATTCGAATTCAAAGCAATGAATTTTGTAATCTAGTAATTACTTACTGTTAGTTCTCTTAGTTGAATTGAAATTGAACTCAGCCCAATCATTTACTTAATTTCTTCAGTCATTCTTTTAGAAGTTACGCTTCAAGAAAAAGAAAATACTAGTTCCACCAATATTCTTTGATAATAACCATTTGTGAAGAATATCATTGCCACAATATCAGTTATGTGATACAAAAATATAGAGTATAACTCAAATAGCAAATGACCTTATACACTTATCCACTCTTTTTTAATTTGTTATATTTTAAGCATTTGTCATACCAACTTTTCGAAATTATTAATTTGTCATCTTATCATAACTCAATTAAAATTTTCATCCAAAATAAGTTGCACATGATATGTGTTCAGGATTACTTCGGTTATTTCAACTACTCACTCTCCTTCTAATATGTTCGCCAAAAATACTTCTAAGGTTTCTCAAAAAACAGGAACGACTTGCACTTACTTCTCTGTGTTTCGCAGTGAAGATGACTCAAAATAGTCATTGGGGACGAAAAAGGATCCTCGCCGGATCCTTTTCCTAGGGATTCGGGGGATCCTGTGATCATAACCGTTTATCATACATCGTGCGGTCAAAAATCATTTTAAATTTAAAACTTTAAAATTAAATATAAATAGTACCTAACGAAAACTGACCGTACGATATATGATGAACAGTCATGATCACGGGATCCTCAGGAAAAGGATCCGGCGAGGTTCCTTTTCCATTGGGGATGATATTCTTTACGTTGAAATGTCCGCAATAACTCTAAAAAATTTATGCTTAAATACAAAAAATAAATATCTGCTTAAGTACAAAACACTTTAAGAAATTTCTCCACCAAAACATTCCTTGAATTCGAGTCCAAGCGAGTGAGGGTGGCGCTGGCTGTTTATCTTTTGTGCTCAAGAATTCTCATTAATTATACTTTCCTTTAATAATTTGTGCCCATGGTTAGGACCCATAAATCAAGTGAATAGCTGCACTCTTGTACCTCACTGAGATGGATGGAGCCTGTGGCCCATTAGTGGGCCGTTATAGCCTCAGCATTAGTGTCCTTTGAGCAAAAAATAGTCATAGATGATCAATGACCACAATTATTTTAAGAAAACTCTGAAATTTTGATTTCTGAAATTTAAAATCGATAGAAATAATTTTTGAGATTGTCCACCGTCAATCATCTTGCCCTTTTGTGAGAAATCTGTAACATATCAAGAGTATTTTTGTCAAATAAACCCACTTGAATCGTGGTTTCTTCAATTTAACAAAGACTTTTCATAGAAAAACCAAAATGATTGACTACGGATAATCTCAAAAACCACTTCTATCAATTTTAAATCTCAGGGACCAAAGTGAAAAGTTATGACAATCTCAGAGACCATTTTTGCTAAAAAACCTTATTTTTATTAGTATTAGAACCATCATCTCTCCTTATTCCCAGCCCTCCATTGGCGAGGAAGAATTAAAATTGGGACCTCTATCATCCTTTAGAAAACAAACAAAATGGATACCTTTCGTCCCATCAAAATCCTTGACAATAAGCAACGATTCTTACACAAAGCTACACTAATTATCAACCAAATTATGAATCTTTTTGGAGCAAAAACAATATCATTAGAAAAATAAACAACTTTACGTGCCCGAGAACACAATCCTGTACCCTCCGAATGATATTTCGGATTTTTCCCTTCAAATGTACCAAAAATCCAAAACTTGTTCAATCACAAGGTCATCCTGTTGAATGTTTCTCAGAAAGATCCCCCTCATAACGTTGTATTCATGTTAAACTACACCAAGCATAAATCCACATAAAAACAGGAGGATCATGCTCCGTTCACACCCACATTCCACCGTTTTTCTTTATCTTTCTATAATTGCTACGATGCTGTCCATTAACAACATCAAAGCTGGTAAACGATGTGTCGAAGAATTCGATCTACAACGACATCTCATTCAATAGAAAAATAGCATCGATTATTGAGTACGTAATAATGAGACATCTACAACGACGTCTCATTCAACAGTTGAAATGTCGACACCAAAATTCAGTGAATAATAATAGAAAAGTTTGTAGTTTATAACAAAATTCCATTACTATTGTGTTGTGTTGATGAAAGTCCGACATGGTCTTCGTATTGGAAATCTTTTGACTTATCTGCAAAATAGTTCATACGAAAATTGAATAAAATTGCACTTCCCTACAAAAATATTAAGCATTGTGGTTGAGCACACATTGGAGGTGGAGATAAGGACTTGACCTGTGAATGATCTGTGAGATTATGACTTTATTGTCTGTATCTCATTGTTTCTTTCTCGAATCCAACTGTTGGAAATTGTTTCGCGTACTGCTCAACCTCATGGCGAAGCTTTGTAATCTCAGATTGAACTTGACTGTCTGATTGGAGAACTGCCACGAAATCCTTCAACTTTGTACCTGCAACCCAGACGTGCATGAGCATGTAACTATGGTAGTGAAATATGTGACATTACAAACCCTAAAATAATTTATATCAACAAAGACGGTCTCATAGAGTAAACCTTTGGCATTGGCCTTGATCTTCAAGGCCAGCTTCACAGCTGCATCAAAATACTCAGCTACTTTCACAAAATCCTCCTCCAAAAACCCCCTAGATGTAAGAGCTGGGGTACCTGAGGAACCAGAAAACACGGCGTTCGTCAGAAAAAGTACTTGGCTAATCGCCAGTAGGTGCAAAATGATTAAATGGAGATGGATGGCCTTACCCATGCGTATGCCACCAGGGACCATAGCAGACACGTCCCCAGGAACAGTATTTTTATTTGCCGCAATATGTACTGATTCCAAAACCTTTTCAACTCTTGAGCCATCAATGCCCTGCCACAGATTCCATATTCATTAGTTTCCTCCTGCTATAAGCCTATAACCCATTCACAGCACAGAAGCATACATCAATGAATTAAACATCAAGCCCTCTAGTATACAAGAAATAAGGGAAATTCTATGATTTTCCCACTAGAGTTTTCTAAAGCATTAGAAATCCATGGATTCGTAATAACCCAACTTTCAGAACTTGACTAAAGGTTTCAAAGTTTCCCTTTTCATTCATTCGTCTATAACATAATTCACTTTTCAAATCTATTTCAGAGGCTTTAATCACGGAATAACGAGATGTTATCACACTTTTTGATTACCAGGCCTAGTTGTTCATCTAGTAACATATCTTTCAGTAATCATATGACATCATTTTTCTTAAACCCCCGGTCAAACATGCTGAAAACTTAAGTGTGAATAAATCTTCCAATCAGAGGGAGAATCAATCTCCTATTTGCAATCTTCCCGTCAGTGGAAGAATCAATCTGCTATTACCTTATCTCTTAAATTCACCAACACTAAATGGTTCTCTGTTCCACCGGAAACAAGATCATAGCCCTTCTCTAGCAAGCTCTGCATGTTCAAAGGACAAAAACTATAAGAGGAAATAGTGAGACAGATGAAACAACCAAATAAACGAAATAAAACATCGTGTGCCTTAGTCATATAAAAATTTGACTCCAAATTGCTATAATGAGAACCCATTTAAAAAAGAGAACAACTTTCAGATTTTGCATTAATATTTTAGAAAGTGACGTTCATCAAACCTCTGCAAATTTTGAGCAATTACTGAGAACTTGTTCCTGATAAGCTTTGTACTCCGGAGTTTTGACCTACAATCATAATATAGTCAGCGGTCAAGTAACAAGAAGATGCATAAATCTGATCAACATTCAACATGTAATAAAAGGAAAGAACAAAAACACCAAAGGAACCTGCTTCAGTGCAACTGCTAGCCCAGCTATGGTGTGGTTGTGCGGACCACCCTGGAGCCCAGGAAAGACAGCCTGATTGATTTTGTCTTCATAATCATACATAACCTGAAGAAGGAAACTCAAGCATTAAATAATTCATTCAATTTCCTTCATTTATATATATTCTAAAATTAATTATCCGAACTTACTTCTTGCCCTTGCTTGTTTATATGCTTGACACCCTTCCTGAAGAAGATCATAGCCCCACGGGGTCCACGAAGTGACTTGTGAGTTGTGGTTGTAACAATATCTGCATACTCAAAAGGAGATGGTATAACATCAGCAGCAACCAATCCACTGATGTGTGCCATATCAGCCAACAGAATTGCTTTCTGCTTATCACAGACCTGACAACACCACAAGAATAACATCTCACTTAATGATTGAGTACCATAAGAATTTCAGACATGCATAACACTGATTATGATAATCACAAAACTCAAGCCAAAATTTACCTTGCGGATACGTTCATAATCGTACAGGCGTGCATAAGCACTAGCACCAGCAACTATTAGCTTTGGCCTGAAAAGTGTGGCACTTTTCTCCATCTGTGGACATGTTTATTCACATAGGTCAGCCTTTAATTCAAAGATAAAAAGTTGGAAAAAAAACGTATAGAGTAAATGTAATTTTTGAAAGATAAATGGCAAATAACACATGGCGAATGCTTAGCACTATAGGCACTCAAACACCAAAACAATGCAGGAGACATGCCAACAAATTTCCCAGTTCAAGACATCTTTAGGTTAACAAAGTTCTGTATTTCCCAGGACTAGTCAAGGATAGTAGGATACACACTCTAATTTCAAATAATGTCCACTATTATCCATTTGATGATAACTAAACTGTGGCCCTGTGGGCAATTTCTTCACATGGTTATCTTTCAATTTTCATGTTATAATAACTAGAATGATTCACTTAAAACATTTTTTTTGCAGTTTTGCTACTAATATCTGAAGGAAACAAGTAAGACGGACCAGAAGCCCATTACACCCCATTTCATCCTATTTCTGAGGCTGGACCAAAAAAATCATGTTTTGATAATAATATTTGCAGGACACATGTAAGACGAACTCTTAAGTATGCTTAAAAGTATGAGAATTTAGAACAATGAAGATGGGGATGAGCAAGGCACCTGATCATAATCAATGTAGCCAGTGCTCTCATTCAATCTGTATGGCATTGTCTCAAAAAATATTGACACAGCAGATATCTTTTTGGTGTCAGTCTGCACAATGGTGAAATGTTTGTGTCAATTAGTATATAGACAGGCAGCATTACATTTATGTATTTACAAACAAAAATGATATGCGACATCCAGACATCAGAAGCATGTAAAATCACCAGAACAAAATTTAGCTTTACTTGTTCTGTGTAGTTTTGAATATCCAGATTGCTTGGAATACCAAACACAATTTCATTCTCAAAATAATTAATATTTCATAAATATACTTAGAAAGGGATTCCAGTTTTTGTACTCATTGGATATTCAGAGAAATTGTTCTGTAAAGACAGTACTACGTTTAATTTATTCTTTCCAGGAAAAATGAAGGGGAATATAAACAAAACAACCCAGACGCTCTAGACTAACTAAGAGCTACAAAGGCTGTCACTGTTAACCACAAAAAGCACAAAATTATAGCCAAGTATAATCTGGAAAAACAATCAACAGAGACGTCAGCACCTGATAACCATGAGAAAGATGGCCACCATGAGGTAAATCAAGTGCCATGATTCTTTCATGAGGTTTCAACAATGCAGTGTAAGCTTGGAAGTTTGCAGGGGATCCAGATAGTGGCTGCACATTCACTGAAAAAATAAAGTAAAGTGTCTTTAGAATAAGCAATTTTTCTTCCATGGTACGTATTACTTAAATCAACAGTCAGATCTTCCATATAGGGATCTAATGGATCTTTGCAACGGTTAGATCTTGCATAAAACTCGTAGGTACGTACCATTGTGGCAGGACCCCCAAAATACATATAAGATATATTTTACTAAATACATCAATAGTCCAATAATAGAATGAACATGAGTTACAAAAGCAAGAGGTAAAGCCCAGAATAAAACTTTATTATAACACAGCTATTATGTGAGCCATGCATTTATAAATCAATGGTTGACATGTTTAAGCAACATAACAGATTTTAATTCCCTTAGTCCCATTTTCAACAATCTAATTAAGTAAAACAATGCTATTCTAATGCCGTCTCATCCCAAAGCCAAATTTTATAAAGTACTACATTCCAAGTTCAAAATCCTGAAGAAATAAGTTACCGAAATAGCTTTTACTGGAATCCCTACTAAGCATATTCACTAGACCATGCCATTGCAATTCACAAAAGAAGAACCATTATACTTCAACACTGGAACATATTGTGCCTTTTTTTTTTTTTTTTTTTCCTTCCTGTGGGAAGAGGAGATGGGACTCAATAATGTGTGGAAAACTATACTCTTTGGCCGATAAATTCTATTCTTTACGCACAAAACACCAGGAATAAAAATCAATTAAACAGTACTAAAACTGTATCAGATAAATCCTGATAGCCTACCAAATAAATCATAACTACAACGGTATATAACCATAAGATGCAATCTTGATATTCTTCCGGGAAAAGGTCAGAAAAGGGAGGGGGGAACAAAGTGATTAGCCAATGATAGAAACACAAACCACACTGAAGAGGTCAATAGATAAAAGTTTAGGATCAGCAAAGAATATAACAACCAAACACAAATCAAAATTTACCACTCATCTTGCATGCCCTAGCATTAAGAAACAGATAGCAAGACAAGCCCGAACAGTTTTATTTGTTGACAGAGTATTGCATACAATGAAAATCACTCACTGGATAGAATCAGATCAAAGTGTGCCCAATTATTTTTCTTTAAAGCAAATACTCAACGGTAAAGCCCTCCCTACCAAATAATTTGAAAGTCTGAACTCATTGGGCGCAAGACATCATTCATAACTTGTACAATGTAAATGTAGACAAATGCAAAATGTGAAAATTTATGTTGAACTGATGGAAGAAAAGTGTTGGCAATGCCACATGTATAACCCTATATCTAGTTCTATTACCTCCCCATTTTGCAGGATCTAACTGGAAGGCTTCTAATGCTCGTTTCTGACACAGGGACTCAGCCATGTCGATGTATCTACAATTATAAATATAAATAAATATCAGTCAAGTGTAATTAATTAAAACAAAAGTACAAGAAGAATGTCAAACGAGGTTAATCACGCCATATCTACTTTCTCCTTTCAGTGATAGATACCACTTTCCCCGAAAAAAATAAACAGTTTAGGAAAGATAAAACTGACGAATAGATACATTTTCGCATAATAGTTACATACAGGAAAGCACAAACACTCATAAGATATTCACTGGGGATCCTACTTACTCATTTCCTCCATAGTATCTAGCACCAGGATACCCTTCACTGTACTTGTTGGTCATGACAGACCCAACAGCTTGCATCACGGAAAGTGACGTGAAATTTTCTGAGGGTATAAGCTCTAGCCCCTATCATAAACTAAAAATTAATAAGAAATTCTAGAAGAAAATATAAACAGAAAGCAAAGAAATATGAACATATCCTGATCATCAACAAAACTTTAATGCTCAACATTGCATTGAGAGTAATGATTTCTTGCCAGGCTTAACCGGGATTCACCCACTCCGGTGACGTGGAGCATGTGTGGCCATTGGGCTTCACACATGAGACAACCTGCTTTGATACCATGAAGAACTTGGGTTCCACCATAAAACCAATTGGCAATATGGGGAATAGTCCAACTGCTTATAAGCACATATAAGATCTCATCTCATCAATGTGGATTCATTCTCAACAGATTAAAGGCGTATCAGTATATCACATTCATCGTCTTGCAAGAGAACATTTTCCATTCTATTGATGTATATGACAAGTACAATTACATTCCAAACTTAAATACAAAATCAAATCAAATATACCTTCCATTGCCGAGCCTTTTCGAGCTCGATAATATCGGCAATCTCGGGATCGACAACCTCAAGCGGTTCATTCAGCTGCTTAATCCACTGAATCCAAACAATTCCACACCATCAACACAACCAAACCCAACACAAATCCAGATCCTAATAAACCAATCAATCACAAAATCGTGAAGAGAACAAGGACATACAGTGGCGCGAGCTTTCTCTTTATCTTGAGCAGCTTGGCTGGCCAGAGAGGACTGAAATCAAAACGACGACGGAGTTCAAAACTATGGCGGGTGGAAATTGGAACTATACGATTTTGGATTCACTGATTGGAGAAGTTTACGTACCATGTGGTATATGGAGCCGCCATGGGCGAAAGGTTGAAAGGGAAGCTTGTTGTTGATGGAGCTGGAGAGCCTGCGAAGCGCCATTGAAACGGGAGGGAGTTTCTTCTCTGTCGCTCTGTGTTTTTTGTTGGTTTAGAGTGCGGTAGGTGTTGGTGGGGTCGGGGTTAAGGTTGGGGTTGGTGGCGAAGACAACTGTCAGAATGTGGGTCCCGCGGAGGGAAAGAGGGATGTGTGTCAGTGTCACTTGTGTTGGACTCTGATTTTAGGTAATAAATTATACATCATAGGCAAGGAATTCCATGCCACATCATGGATCCGACTCACATGCGCAAACGGATCAACTTTGCACCAAAGTTAGGTTGTGTTGGATGGAGGGTGTTACATTTACTATCTATTTGTAATTTTTTTTAGGACACAGTATAAATAGGAGACAAACAACAAGAAAATGGAAAAGTGAAGGTCGAGAGTGCTTATAGTGCATGCTATCAAGGAAACCCCAAATTTGGATGAACCTCTTCACTTGGTTCAATGTGGTTGTTGATGTGTGGATGTTCCATATGTGACTTACTAATTAGATCTCAAGTGAGGGGGCATGTTGAAATATTCCACATCGAACGTATATCTAAAAAAAGAAGAATTTAAATATTATAACCTCACTCTAACTAATACGGATGTCTTTTGTGATAAAACCTCATACCTAACAAATCGTGCAGATGGTAGTTACCAAGTTAGAGACAACATCAATGTTGTTGAAAGCAAACCTTCGGCCCATCTCTCTAATAATTATACAACATGATTGTGTGAGGAGTTCGAAGGTGCTATTTACTTCAGCTAGAAAAAACACGTCGAAATTGATACAAACTTGGTTCGTATGGCGAGCGATATGACATGCTGTAGGAGCCTAGCAGCACTTTTTCTCTACTTTATTAGAGAGAAGAAATCCTGAGTTCAAATTTCATGAACAACAAAATGTTAGAACGGAACAAAATCTCATATTTCATATCATTTATTCTGGGATTCATGTAACACTATGACGTGGTACAACTGTTGTATCTAAGAGTTTATGCTATGAGTTTATAATGTGTGTTTGTATCTGTGTGAGAGAGAGAGAACTGCAGATACATAAGAGGATATGTTCATAGCTTTAAAGGGAGTCTCCTGGTTAGCTACGTACGCACATTCCTCACATCCTGATTAAGACTCGGTTTATACAGACTTTTACACTACAACAACTCGATTTATACAAACTTTCACGCTGAAAAACAAAAACGAAATACATCTCTTTCCTTCTGGATTCTTCTTAATCTTCCCTCTTCTTCAGGGGCTGTAGTGTCACCGGGAAGGAGAATCCAGACGGGGTTTGGTAAACTGCGATTACAACTTCAACACCCCGCGCCCCCAAAGGTCAAAACCATCGCAAACTACATGTCAAGCACTGATAACCGAAAGCAGATGATGCGCATGTCAGAAGTCAGCGCTTCTTACTTTTACTCTTGCTGATCCTCGACTTGCTACTTTCAGTAGGAGGTTTCCAGATGATATCCTCAAGATTGCTACAGAAGTTCTTGTAAAACTGTATAACAGAAGCACATCTTTTCAATTCAGAAGGGTTTAGGGTTTCTGAATGTCTACCATGTTATCGATGCAAACAGACGCAACCAACATGCATGCACACGCAGGTGATACAAGCTACCATGTTATCGATACCAAACAAAAATAGTTAGAAGCAAACTGAAAACTAACCTTGAGGAATTCACTAGCATCTCCGGAGGCTTTCTGAATGTCTACCATGTAATAGGTCGGAGCAACTTCAAAAATCTGCAGGCAATAAAAAATATTAAAAATAATCAGTCTACTAAACTGGTAGGGTTGGCTTCAGTTCAGTGTCGGAGGAGTAAAAGCTTACTTCAAGAATAATGGAGAAATGAGAAGTCTTATTTGCTGAAAGACCCTCCACTCTCATCTGGAAAAAAAGAAATATACGCATGTTTAGGAGTGAGTTTTCAAGTACTTCTATCCAGGATCGTCGTCCCAGAATTATGAACAGACATGCTCGTGCACAAACACACACGTTTAACAAACAAAATAGAAGTAAAGGGACTTGTATATGTTGGAACTGTGTTTTATGTGGGACTTGGAGTCCCTCCATATTTCGCTGAGAACCACACAATCAATTCGCCAAGAATCCAAGTTCGAGTGCAAGAACTTGGATTAGATAGTTGTATCCTGCAAGATAGACATCCATTTGAACTACTGCACTGGTGTAGGGGCGTATTTCTGTCTTAGGAGATTGCTACTGCAAGCCTCTATCTTCCTAACCAAGTCAGTGTTTTGTGATTCATTAATTCAGTTTTGTAATTGTTTATATTGTGAGATATATAGATATATATATATATATATATATATATATTGTTTCCTTTTGAAATTACTATTCTAAATAAACTGTGCAATTGTTGTATAATATATATACTTAACATTTGATTGTTTCTAACAGTATATATATCACGATATTGGTAAACAAATAAAGGGGAAGAAGTGAAATGAAGCACCAAAAATATAGATCAGTATAGATCTGGGCTGATTTACCTTATAGTTGCGAATGTGTGTCTTGAATCCCATTGATTGGGCAACAACTTCCATACTGGATAATACAACCTTTGCTGGCTTTTGTGAAACAAAGCGCGTCTGATATTTCATAGAATCCTACAATTGGGGAAGCAATTCACATGTCAGATAAGTAGGCAACTGGCATAAAGTAACTATCTTGTGAAAACTTGTATCCATAAGCAAAGGTCATGATGGTTAAATACTGAATCTCAATTGACAGTTGCTTTGTGCAGATTTTGACAGGTTGAAGGAACAAGATAGAACGGTATAAGATTAGCAGCTTTAAGGGTGAGAGGGTACCTTTCATATGAAACACACAGAACTTTACACCAAATTGTAAAACTGGAAGTATGGTTTACTGAGTAGCTAAAGGATAAAGATAAAAGGAAATTAACCAATAAGCTAGTGTCTTACCTTTCCACGGTCAAACATTGTTGCGAGGTTTAAGCCTTGAGATAAAATTATTAAGTCAAATGCATTAAGAACTAAAGGACCCATGTCTTCATTTCCGTGGTGCTCGATAGCCCTTTGTTCCTGCTATAAACCATATATAACAAGAGAGTTACTTGTGTTGTCAATCTCAACAAAACAAAATGTAGCTTCGCTAAGTCTTGACAACCTCAGAGTCGGCATCATCAAAAACAGCATTCACATCATCCAGATTTACATCTTCATATTCAAGTAATCGGGCAGGAACATAATTCTTCTGAAACCACTCATCATTTCTGATCTGTTCAATTTTAATACGCTGCATTTACACAATCACACACACAAATGTTTCAGAAAAACAAAAACCAAAATAACTCAGTGAAATAGATATTCAAGATACGTAAATCCCAGAACACTTGTTACATAATTACATAGAGTTCATTCAACTTTATTCAAATACAGTACTTGATGTTTGTCCACACTTTTGAATTAAATCACTCAGGGGGAATGAATAATGTGATGCAGTAGGAAATAAACTTTCAAAAATAGCAAAAAACATAACCAAGAACGCAAATGTATGTCATGAGCGGGTCCTGAACACTATCGACGTTAAAAGGAAAAAAAAGAGAGGCCATATGGGTTGAAGAATAATTAGGGGATATATCCTACTGTAAGACCAACTCCAATGATGGGCTAAAAGCCAAATTACCCCCCAAAATTTCCCCCCAAACCCACTCCAACCCAAGGGGAAATTTTGGACTAAATGCTAAATGCTAAACCAATGCCAAATTCCCCCCAAAATTTAGCCCAGAAATCGGAGAGGACTCCACCCAATATTTATCAGAATTTAAATTATTTTAGATTAAAATGTTTATAAAATTAATTTACAATGGTCTACATATTTATTTATTTTTTTAAATTTAATTTAACAAAAAAATTAGCTTAAGTTCATTCTTTAATAATCCCGGGCTAAAATTTTAGGCTAGAACGGTTGGAGCAGAAAAAGCTGTTTCTGGGCTAAAAGCTAAATTTTCCGGGCTAAAAAATTTGGTTTTTAGCCCAACCATTGGAGATGGTCTAAATGACACAAGCCAGCGCTTATAATTCTCAATAAAGAAAAAAATATTTATTGTTTATAACAACTAGACTTCTACTTTTAATATGAACTGTTCCAACTTAGAATTTTTAACTGCTCTCCAAAAAAAAAAAAAAAAAAAAAAAAATTCCATGGTGGACTTTTTTTCTTGTTAATTTATAAAAAAACAAAAAAAACTTAAAAGTACTGACTTTATTTCAGTCATATTCCAGCTAATCTATAGTTAGATTTCTCTTGCATTACATGTGCAAATATGACACGCTTAAAAGCACTGACTTTATTTCAATCATATTCCAGTGAGGAGCGTTTTTCTTCGGACCAATTTATGATACCCTTAACAGTCACACCCGTAACTGGGATTGGTGACTGAAAGAATTGTCATGGCCCAATCCAAGGTTGGTGACAGCCAGAGGAAAATGTTTAGAAAGCACATAAAACATTAGTTCTTTAGAAATCTTTAACACCCAAGTTCTGAAAAACTAAGCTGACATGCATTGGAAATAAATAATTTAATGGTGAAAGAAATCTGAGGACATACGAACGTTGGTGCTCGAGGAAAACTATAAAACTTGAACTGTGGAATATCACATGAAACTTTACCAACACAACACCAATTTTTCTTTAATTACTAAGGGTTAAAAAAATTTAAAATGAACATAAAGCAAAGGTGATTTGTATCCGAAATTTCAAACATGACGGTCTCCCCAGTATATATCCCTTGGCATGACGAAAACACCAAATAAGGGAAGGAAAACAATAATACAGAGATAAAAAAAGGTGACGAACTCAAGGAAAGTCAAAATTCTCAGCAAAGGCTTAATGTTGGGTCAAACACTAAACAGACTCATTCCGGTTTCCGATTAAATGAAGCATATGACTTGGTACTTCTAATTAAATACTTCTCTTCTAACACTTGTTTTATTACACACCTCACCCTTATCTTGGTTAGTTACATGTGCTATTTCATTCCAAGATTTTAAGATGTCCACTGTAAAGTAATATGATAAAAAACTGACACGAACACTTTGT